ATGTTGTACATGATTATTAATATTAGTGTATGTTATTTGCAATCAATGTCCAAATTACGTGTGGATGGAGACTGGAAAATTTGGATGAAACACATGATTTTCACGTTCATTTACGGAACTATTAATTCCATTAATGGTGGTTCTTCGTACTCTCTACCGAATGGATAGGCCAAAAAGCGCACTAAACACTATTACATGTTCTTCTTATCCATTGTACTTGCTGCTGCGGAGAGACCAATAACTACTAGTAATATATAAGACCATTGCATGTGCACGACATCCACGAGTTTTACTTTCCACCTCACAATTGTCATTGTTTCTTGCACCTAATGGGCCTGTGCTTTGCCTTTTAAGTTTCAGTGTTTCGCAGACATTAAGCTGGTGATATGATATGATATGATATGATATGATGCCCATTATCACCTCATACGTGTCCGAGGCCCATTTGCAAATTCCCAACTTTTGGATATTATCTACTGAGTCATGTCGAGCACGTGAATTTTTGCGAAAAAAATGCACTTTCTTGTGCAGCTTTAATTTTTTTTTTTTTTTTGGCAAAATTGAATTTTTAGTCCTGTTGTACAATGTTTAGTCCCAAGATTTCAATTTTTTTTATCTTTTGGTTATGTAATTTAGTATTTTGTTGCAATTTCATCAATTTGAGACTGAAATTGCAACAAAATATAAAATTACAAGACTTAAATTTCTAATACCAAAATCCATTCAAAAGATTTTTCATTAGCAATTTAAGTCATGTAATTTTAAATTTTGTTGCGTTTTTTATTTCGAAATAACTGAAATTGCGTTAAATTTTAAAATCATAGTGATATGGTCGTCAATAGCGGCTCATGAGGAACCGGTTGTGATCCGGTCATCACTACATTATGAAGAGGACCAGCTCGGCATTGTGGTAGTCGGGCGGTTGGGTGAGTGTCCGGCGAGTGGCGAATGCTCGGCATGAGATAAGTGTCCGGCATGAGGAGTGCCCGACATGTGGGGTGCCCGACACTAGGTACTCGGCGGGGGTGCCCGGCGCAAGGCCCTCGGTGACGCGTGTTCAGCACGAGGTGCTCGAACTGGGATGATGCTCGGCGGGTGCTCGACCTTGGAAAGTGCTTGGTGGGTGCTCGGCCTTGGGAGGTGGCCGGTGGTTCTCGTGCGCCCGGCGGTCCTCGTGTGCGTCGAGGAGGTTAGAACCTGAAGGTGACTTTGTGATCAAGTTACGGAGGAGTTAGTAGCAACAAGGACTCTCGGGATTCAGAAGACCTTTAACCTAATTAAGAGTTTTATGTGAAGAAGACTTCTTATCCCCCTGGGACTCTCCAAATTTCTCCTATAAAAGGGAGCAGGTTTGTTCATTTTACACAACACACATTCACGAGTTATCTCGTTACTCTGCCGTTTTCTCTCTAGACCATCACTGACTTGAGCGTCGGAGTGTTCGCGCCGGGACCACCCCCGGCGTGCTTTGCAGGTATCGACGATTAAGGAGACGCAACCCGGTTCGAGAGGAGCGGTCCAGTTCAAGTATTTGTGGTATAACACATAGGACCAAATAGCAAAATTGTTCAATTCTTAACACTAAAAACGCCCTTGGATCAAACCAAAAAGACTAAAATTGTAATTTTGTCTTTCTCTTTTTTTTTTTTCTTTGAGAAATTGCTTAATCAACTTTCTTGTGCCTCTTTTTCATGGTTGTTAGCAAGCTTACAGCGATAAACAGCACTTGCAAATAAGTGGGGGGCTCTTTTTTATTTTTTTATTTTTTTTTTGTTCTTTTGTTTCGTCTTTGTTTGCCATTTCCTTTGTTCTGGGGATAACTCGATAAGTTGAAGAGTCCTAATTGATATTAAAAGTTCATTCGGATTAAGGCGACTTAAATCTTATAATCATTATCATCAACTCCATCAAAAGTGCGTGCACTGTATTGTACAAAGTCAAAGTCCCATTTGTGGGATTTAGTTTCATCTTTAATGTTTCTATAGTGGAAGGTGCTGTTTCTAAAGGGAATTTAATCGTTTCCCACTTATAGTCATTTTGCTATTTGACAGCCGATAAAGTAGCTTATATGTTATATGTAACTTTTGAGTTTATAACTTATAATTTATGACTTATAGCTGAACAACTAGCTTATATAATAAAAGTGTTTGGTAAAATTAGCTGATAAGCTATCTGAAATAATAAATCAACTAGTTTATTTGAAACGCTACCTGAAAAAGCTTATGAGATAAACTCGAGATTTTTAAAAAAGCTCGTCCTACAAAACGAGACTTATTTGAATACATGAAACTTATAAGCTAATCAAACTATAAGCTAGCTCATTTAACTACCAAACATATGCATAACATGTTTGCTTTGAGTTATTTATTTCTTTACAAATTTTATATTTTACTCTTGTATTAGTTGTTGGTTGATTAGTTAATGTTTGTCGTTATTTTAGATCCATTTAAAATTAAGGGTCTAGTATTAGTTTATTTATTTTTCAAATAGCAAATATATTAATAATTTAAAACTCAATAAAGTACAATTGAGGTGTCAACTGACATCAAAGAAACCGGAACGAAGTTTGAACCAATCCACTTGAACGACACATATGTTGAAGGGGTACAAACTTCCTTGAGAAGACAACAAAAACACAAAAAAATAAAATAAA